AAGATTCGAAATATGAGATTCATTGATACACTAGAAGCACAGTTTACTCTACCATAGTTTGGCCTGTGTCTCTTGTCTTTACCCTACCTATGTAGCAAGACTTCTTATACTATAAGATGTTGCATTACTCCCGAGAAACTTTTGTTTGAAGATTCGAAATATGAGATTCATTGATACACTAGAAGCACAGTTTACTCTACCATAGTTTGGCCTGTGTCTCTTGTCTTTACCCTACCTATGTAGCAAGACTTCTTATACTATAAAAACCTTTGATTCTATAATTACTTTATCATTTGTATTATTTTGAACATAAAGTATAAAAAAAAAAAATCATACAATGCTCAAAGTTTCTTAACAGCTTTTACGAGTTTTTTTTTGTTCTTGAACTATAAATCAAATGCCTATTGAAATAAAACAGAAACAGGAAAACTACATTCCTTATCAGTGTTCGTTATTCTTGAATAGCTTGACGCACGACGTGGCTGTTGAAAATTCCTTTGTGCTGTAGAGATCAAAACTTTTTTACCCATAGAACACCAATTATTACTGGCAAATTAGCAATTTCATGCATAAATATACTGCCTAGCTATTAATTGTATATATATATATTTTGGTATTTTTAGTACGTCTTTTGTTGGATGTACAATGAATGTCAATAACAAATGAGATTTTATTTCGCGCCGGTAAAGCATTTCAGATTAAAACAAATAACCATATAAATTGATGATGTTAAGGATGTGAATAACCAGACATCATTACAGCATTCAGATAAAATTAAATTCTAGTGTTACTAGTCCACTTGCGAACAGTTGCTTTAAAGACATCATTTCTCTGGAAGTTCGTGATGTCAGAAAAACACGTAGGTTTAATAACTCTTGATAGAAATGAATAAAAACCATATAACCCGAGCGCTTTCGAAAGGTGGACCTTTCTTATTCAGAAGAAGAAAGGTCCACCTTTCGAAAGCGCTCGAGTTATATGATTTTTATTCAGTTATCTGGAAGTGTTATAATCCAGAGGCCAGCGTCATGAACAGTAAACGACAGTAATCACGGAAGGCTAGAACAAACAATCAGTTCTACCTTCTCGATTGGAGTGGTTTATAGCATGTTGGGAAAAACTACCAATTCCACCAAACACTACATACATAGTGTCCATGAAGTTCTCATTAACTTGAAGTTAAATTTTATAATATAAATTATGAGTGCTTCCTCAAATAAATACGGTAAAATTGTAAAAATCCTAGCGTATAATTCTGGAAACACATTTAAGTGCTTTAGGTATATTTCACGAGAACCCGAAGCGCCAAAGTGTGTTTGCAGTTTTAAGCGTTCAAAATCATTAGTGACGCATCTGATATTAAGAACGAAAAGGCTATACTTACGGTTATTATCCCACATAATTTGTATATCATTGCTAAGCTAAATGAATGTGATAACTTATGTAAACTAGGGATAACAGATGAATTATTGAAGACGTTTTAAAATTAACGTCTGTTACATTTAAGTTTCTCCTGGAAGCGTTTCCATCTTCTAATTCCAGCATCTATAGCGAAGATCTTGAGTAAAACACGCTAAATTATTGAGTTTTTTAAAAAAGAACTGATGTACCATGAGAACAGACGACCTTGACATATCTATAACATAAGATTACGAGTTCAGCGCCCTAATCACCTGGTCGTGCCGAGCCATTAATCTAGGAGATCTTTTTTTTTCTTCTTTTTATTTGCTATATTTTTGTGCGCCAGCAATACCAAGCGTGGGGCGCGCGTATAACCGATTCCATTTTATTACTCGTCAGGATCTCTACTAGCCTACCCTCAAATTGAAATTCTTTTAGGCAGGATTGGAGTAAATTAATGTATGAGACCTTGGGCGTGGTCAAATACATCAATCGAAAGAGTTTATTCTCCTGAGTCCAAAACTGGAATAAATTTCAAATCGGTCAAGAGGTGACAGAGCTATGAGCTAAAAGTTTGTACTTTAAGAAAAACTTTGAGTCATTCCATGAGCCGCTATGCCAGGGCTAAAAAGGGTCTACCGGATAATTTTCTAATGATATCATTGTTGGCACTGTATAGGTTTGGACATTCTACGCGTAGATGTTTTATAGATATCATGAAATTAACAAAATTCTCTGGAATAAACTGTTGGTTAAAAAAGGAAGAATTTAGCCGGATGATTTTCTAATGAATATTGTTGCCAATGTAAAGGTTTGGACATTGTACATGTTGATGTTTCACAAATATCTTGGACAGTTTGAAGTTATTAACGGAAACACTTGAAAATCAGACAGAGTCGTGTATTCTGAAAGAATCATTCGTAGCAAGCACAGTAATAACCTCTCGCGCTTAGAAAAAAAAAAACTATCCTTTTGTAAAAACATTGTGTATTTCGTGCTTATTTTCAATAATTGTTTGTAGTTAGATAACGTGCTTGCAACAATACACTAGTGTAAAGATACGCCCATCAGACGACTCCAGGACATTTTTCTATAATAGCTGGAAGAGGGAGTTTATGGTACAACACACCAACAAACAATGTATTGTTCTGATACATACTTGATTATCTAAACTTTACCAAAAAATCTCGAATCTACTATCTCTAATCTGCCATTACATTATTTTCAGAGCATGAATAAGCTATTAATAAACAGGAGCCTCCAATGGCGCTGTTAAAAATTTAAGCGAGAATATCCCATATTATATTAAAATTTAAGCTTGAAATTAATACACTTTGATGTTTCGAGTCTTTGACGTATTTTGCAGAATAATGCCATGCAGTTGTTTTTGTTGGTTTATACATTTTATTAATATTCTTGATGAACGACTTGATTCATTATGAGTTTTGATGCTTTAAAATCGAAATCTAATTAAAGGAATGACATAAATTATAATTAAAGAGAAAAAAGTAAGGGATTCACATTTTCAATTAACAAGAAGATTAATTAATCTTCCACGTTTACCATCCCGAAGTCTATAACGACCAAATGCTGTTACTGCGGCTGACTTTTGGGTATTGACGATCATTCAAAGTATACCATTGTAACAAACAATGTAAAGTCAGACGAACCGCAGAAGATAAACTACACTATTCCGAAACACTTTCAATACCGTTCCACGTAGGTTCCTAGTTGAAATGTAACAATTATATCCTCTAATTTATTTTTTCGAGTTCATCACATGGCGAACTCATGCCATGCATATGATAGTCAAGAACACAACACTACGACATATTACTGGTGGGGATATAATGAAAGAGGTTCTGATGATACATCAGAACTTTGTACCAACTTAATCTAAATCTTTCGATGACTCTTCCTCAATTTGGAGTCATAACAAAACTGGAAATGAAGGTAAGTACTACTAGATATTATTTGAATACTACTAGATAATACTTGAATACTACTAGGTATTATTTGAATACTACTAGATATTATTTGAATACTACTAGATAATACTTGAATACTACTAGGTATTATTTGAATACTACTAGATATTATTTGAATACTACTAGATAATACTTGAATACTACTAGGTATT